ACAACAACAACAACAACAAAATTAGGAATGGTCGAAGAAAGAAGAAAAAAGACAAGATAAGAGAGAAAGAAAAAGTGTAAAAAAATATTTATGCGAATTGACTGTAATTCTTGTTATGTCTTTGTTATCGTTGCCAAAAAAAATAGAATAAAAGAAAAGAAACAAGTATTAGCTACATATCCTTGCCCAGGTTGGAAAAATACTGTTATTATTAATAATAGAAAGATTTTATTCATATATTGATTAGGAGCCTTACAAATTTAGAGGCGAATACACGGTTAGGGGACTTGGGTACTAGCTCATGCAATCGCACCCCACCCACCTGAGTGATATTTTTTGTACTCATTAATTCTTCATGCAATTATTGGTGTATAATCCTTGTTGAAATTTCTTTAAAACGTGTACGGAGTATTGGAATTAGTAATAACGTGTAAAAAAAAGGCGCCTGACAAAATTGGTACTCAGTTCTTCTCATCTCGTATGACCGGGAGGGTTGGTAGAGATAGAATCACGTGGCATACCAAGAGTGTTTCCAGCCTCGATCTGAGCCATCTGTTTGAATTCTAAGAATTAAAGGAAGATAGACGCTTTTAGAAACTTTGACAACTACTTAGTTTTGCATGAGTAACCAAGGTGCGTCATAAAGCGACTACTGCACCCAGCTTAGATGCTCACACGATTGTCTGTTGCGCTGTTGCAAGGATAATAGGCCACTTGTATTATAGCGTCATTTACTACAGCTACCAGAATCCCTTGCACACTTTCTTTTGTTCAGTTAATTAGCACCAATTGTCTTACTATTTTCATGGATACGCCTCGGACTGCAACTAATTGCTTGTACTTAAAATCCCATCCAGTCCGATATTGAAGGCTTTGAAATATTGCTTCAAAGATATGACAATTAACATCATGTTGTCATGTTCGTACTTACTGATTATAGTGCGGAGAAAGAATGGTAACGATTTGGTGCCGAAGGGAATTGTGGAATTCCTTTCCTTCCTCAGTTTGTCAGCGGTTTCATAACTTAGATCAGCGCCGAGGTCGCTTAGCATCAGGATAGGGTTCAATCAAAGTTCAAAAGGAACTTATTAAAGGTAAATTTGCGTACCGTCAAATATGATCTTTCTGTTCCAGCTCTGCTTGTGGTCCTGTAATATTTCATTGATCTCGTGTTCAGGTATATTGTCTTCCAAGTGTCTCAAGACAGACCTTAAGTCTGAAGACATGACGTAACCTCTCCCATCTCGATCAAACATCCTGAATGCTTCTTTAAGGTCTTTGTCATCCATCATGAACTGGTTTTGAGTCATCATTAGATTGACGAACTCTTTGAAGTCCATGAGTCCATTGCCTTAGCAAAGAAAAACAGAACAATGATTGTTTTATGTTCATACTACCAACATGGCCACGTGATCTTTTGCAGCGAGTGAATAAATTTTTGAGAAGTGATATCGTATAGAAATGGAAATGTTGAGAATCATCGAGCTGATTGAATGGGAGCGCGGACTAAGCTTTATAAGAGCACTTAGCATGCGCGCACTTTCTATTTTGTTATTATTTGTAACCAAAATAATGGTCATTCTAATTTGTATTTTAGAGAAGAAATAAAAAACCTGCTTCCTGTCCTATGTGGAGTCATAAAATCACCGCGTGCTTTATAACTGCACCGTAGCACGCGCGCGCATTTTCTATTTCTTTACTGAGTAACCATATATATATCATAGTTCTAATTTTGTTAACGAACGTACCGTCACAGTCCACACTATTGATCATCTTTTGTAGCTCCATCTCTGTCGGGTTCTCGCCAAGAGATCTCATTATGGCACCCAGTTCTCTCGTGGTGATCGTACCGCTCGAGTCCTTGTCGAAGTGCTCAAAAGCATCTCGGTACTCTGTCGTGAAATCACATGATTAATCAGCATAATTAATCATAACTCTTAACACGTGACTCATGATCACGTGATTTGTTAGTATAGGATCAGGGATGGTGTCATACTTCTGAGTACTATGGGAAAACATTATGCTCACAGTATCAACGGCATGACAAACCAACACTTACCAGAGAGTTGTTCTTGCGACAATTGTTTCTCCTGTTGTTCAGCCTGCAATACAAACACAACCGTATTTGCTAACTATTATATAGCTTACATAGTACGCGCGCTCTGATTGATCGAGAACAGTGCTGTATTAGGGAATGAAGCACGGTTGTTAGACTTACTAAAGAGTTGCTCGTTGATCGTCAGCCAGGAATCAAAAATATGGCCTTCAGTTGTTGTCTAGTTTTTGTCAATTGAATTATTAATAAGAAGCTATATTGTAATTCAATTCAAATTAGTCTTATCTATATGGTGTCTCAACAGAGCAAAGGAAACCCACAATGACAAAACTATCATATTTTCTGCGCCTGAAGACAAACAAGACGCAACTGATACGTAAACTAGCTGCGGAGGCGGACCTGATTCAATACTTTTACAAGGGTAGATTTCATTGACCACAGCTCTCGTGTTTTTGCCTATGGCACAGACAAACCCTAATTCCTCGTCAATTATTCATAAGTTTCACGAAAAAGACTCAAAAAGGAGCGATTTCGTAAATTATTCTGAACATATTTTCTAGAAAATAACATAATATCCCCAAAATAAAAACTTTTGTATGACGCAGTTCTTATCTTAAACCTCGTAATGTTAAAGTATTTTTTCGTTAAAATAATGCGGGTTATTTGGGAATTGTATTGAGTATCCAGTACACAAGATTAAATTCCGATAGTGAAAATCTGGCTCGCAAAACGAAATTAAAAGCAGTAGAAATGAAGTTTGGATTTGATGTGCTTTGAATTCTACCTTAACTTCTTTGCTTCTGGGTTCGTTCTTAGGGAAAAAATGTTCGTAATTGTAAATTAAAAAATATAGGCTTAAATAATGAACATAGAAAAAACGACCTTTTCATCGCGCGCTTTTACTAATTTTATAACCTTAATAAACACGTTTATTCAATTCTTGAATTATTTTTATAACTTACCATGTTTCTGGCAGCTTAGGTTTCGACGCTTCGTGAAATTTATTGCTCTGGTTTAGCAAGCGTTTTTGGATGAAGAATCAATCTGTAAAGGATGAGTCTGTTGTGTTTTGACGTTAACAGAATACGCGATTACTGTGCCTATATGACGTTGATTATCATAAACGCTTCACATGGTACATATCTGATCGAGCAAATTTGAAAATAAACTGTTTGAAATCCCTTTAGTGGTGGATTTTTAAAAGCCACAACAAGAGACCAAGTGGGTTTGTGTCGTAATTGACTCGCAGCTGAGAATGACCTTCATCCTTTACAGTGTTAATAGAGAATTACTTGAATGGAAGCACTTATTTTGAACAAGAATGAGAAATGCACGAGTCACACCGACTGATTGAAAAACCTCGTGCAACACATCAAACATTAAAAACCTTTACAGCAGCAAGAGCGGAAAAGTAATCCAAATAAACACGACTATCTTTGAAAGGTGACAGCAGGCAAGCTTATCACTTCAATTGACTCCTGACTTTTACTGAGATAAAAATTAAAAGAAAAAAAGAAAAAATGTGTCGACAGCTGAAGTCAGTGAAGAGACAGATGCTTTGCCAACTCAAGAATCATTTATTGACGCATGGTTGAGATCAATACGACTCTATTATTAGTACAACTGACTTCAATTCAACTTCTAGAGTGAATATCAATAATTGATCATATCAATATATTTATTTTCTCGTTCGTGATATTTAATCTTATATACAGCTTAATTTACATATTGTATATATACTTTTTAATAGTGCATGCTCCTAACACAGCGAGCCCAAGTTTCAAAAGAGTTTACACTGTGCATGACGTCATATCATCGTTTTTGTACCCAGTCTTTTAGCTGCAGTACCACCACAGGTACTCCAAGATATGCTTTGACAGTACATTGCTTTGTTAAAACATCTGTATCATGTCGTGTAGCTTGGAGGATCTTCGTCCAGGGGTTTTTGATTTTTTTATATTGTCGTTCGCATGATTTTGGATATGTCTCTTTGTAACTGTACCTATAACAAATACGAATTAACATAAGTATGCTTTTAAGAAAGTCACAATTTCATTTGATATTCCTTAGATGAATCAACTCGGTTTCGGGAATGAAAAATGGTTTGGGCTACCTGTGGTTCTAAACCTTCATTGCACACGCCGCCACAGGCAGCCGATAAAAGAATCGTTTAGAAATATATTGGTTTTTTTTTTTGGAAAAACATAAAAAATCTCTACTCACGTTTTCTGTTTCTACTTGAATAGCATCGGAGAGGTGATACCGTACAGAATATCCATCCCTTTGGAATGAAGACCTTCTTTTTGCCCTTTACGGTATCTATGGTAACGGTACGACCGTCCTTTCTATTTTTTGGCATGTGTTCTGACCACAAATGACGGATTTTTGATCCGTTTTTAATTTTTTTGTTTGATAAAGCTGAAAAGAAATTGTCAAATATTCAGATTAAATTCCGGCAAATTTTCACTGGGCCAGGTACCCTTAACCGTTTCCTTTTTATAAAAGCCATCTTTTTCATTGATTTTCAATAATAACTGTTCGAAAGCAGCTGTTCAAGTGTTCTTAGACTTTTTTCATTGATTTCGAAATCTTTAGTCGATTCCACAGTCCACTTAGAAAAAGTCCGATCTAAGGAATAAATCCACGGATCCGTAAATTCCATAATTTTTGATTTTCGTACTCAAACTATTAAATTCATAAAGAGCAAGCTAAATAGTTATCAATGGTGTAATTTTTCATACGTTTGATTTTAAAAAGTAATGGTTTTACGAGCATTAAAAGTATCGACCCGCAAACCACTGGTACGAATAATACGTACGCCTTCCCTTCCCCCCAAGGGTTGGGTCCTACAATTGGAATTTTGGCGCTTCCAATTCAGTTTGACAAAACATGTTCTACTACTGAACAGTATGTGTACTAATAGAAATAATTTTCAACCTTTTTTTGTATGATCTTCAAGATCTGCCAGAACTGAAATGCAACAAAATAACTAGCGGTTAATTTTCACTAAAACAAATGAGCTTAATAATTGAATTCTATAAAAATCATTAAAAACTTGACTAACCTTTGGCTATTTTGGATCTTTTTCTTGATTCTGTAGAGGAAACATTCATGCAAATTTAATATTGTGATCGCTATTCTAAAAGTATCAGCATTCTTACATTCTTCGTAAAATTTTGAAACTTTTGAAGGCGCGTAATTTGACTATTTTTCGTTGGAACATGTGCTTCTAGTTAGTTACTTACCATGAAGGGTGCTCTCCTCTTCAATCGATTGTAAAGCTGCAACAACATAAAAATTGTGAGACAACTATTGTAATAGTTTCAATCACCATAGGTTTCAACCGTCATCCCTTCATACTAGAAATGCGGCTTATTCACCTATTGGGCACTCTTAGTCCCAACGGGATTAATGAACGCTTTATTTTCAACTAACCTTTTCTTTTGTCTTTTGATTGTTTGTTTTTGTTTCCTTGCCTACCTTGCTCTCATTGGTTTCTTTTGTCTTATTCTATCATATATACACTCCTTTCTACCACTTCTTTCTCTTTTACTCCGACGAAGGACTAGCGTCCGAAACGTCAGTAAGTTTTTTCATCTTTTCACGGTGTATAATTTACCTTTTCATCATACTAGTATAGGTCATTGTATTCTCTAATATAAATCATTGTATAAGGTATTCACCTGTCTCTAAGCTCTTCACTGCTGGTGCTTCCTCTTCATTCACGGATCGTAAAACTGGATTGAAAATATTAATACCTCAAGATAAATCAACCAATCAGGATACAGCTCGGTCAGGGTCATGGTACAGTCATCCCTGAGTGGAACGCCTGGTCGACGTCCTTAGAAATCAAATCCTACTTAAACAATAGTAGGATTTGGTTTCTAAGGACTATAAAGACATTCAAAGATGTCCAAGTGAAAATCCATTCTTTTACCTTTCGATAACTTGAGTAGATCATCATTCTCAACTCTTCGAGCATCTCGATATCCCAACAGCCTCTTTGGTCTTGATATATCTATAATAGTAAATTTTTACCCAGTCATTAGTCCCTACGCGGCATAAAGTCAGGCCTGGTGATATTCTAGTTTCCAGACCCCATTTTTTGAAATTACCTTGACGGCATAACCGACTATCTTTGTTTTATAATCACAATATTATCAAAATAAATAAACAAATGAAAATATTTCTCCATTTATGATATATGTTAGGTAAAAATTTATCAACAGAGCGCAAAACCTATTTTTGATCATTTGTCTTGTTGCAATGATGTGGACCTAACAGACTGACTTACCTTTTTAAAAAATATATATGGATGGCAAACCAATACGTTATAAATAACTCTCAAGATCCTCTCTCTTAGAACACCGGCAATATCAAAAATATAAACATCAGCTGTGGCTGTACAAGCTGTACATTTGTCATAGTGAAAAACATAATAATTTAATTAGAATGAAAAGAATTGATCGAAAAACTATTTTTTTAAATGGGGGTATTTTCTTTTCCAACTGGTCAAACTGCCTACTGATCGGGAATTATAGACGTTCAAAAAAAAAATTTATTAGAGAGCTATTCGATTGCTTAGCGGGTTACAAACACGTCAATAATAAGTAAAGAATATGATACGACAACAAAATATTTACTATTAGGAGTAAATCTTACCTTCGCTCGACGCCCAAATTATCGATGAACAAAACACTGGAAAAAGAAAATTTAAATACAGAAACAAAAAACAAGGAATATTAAAGCTTTCTTGTTTCCATTTCGTTCTTCGCTTCATCTTGAAGGCAGCTAGGTAAGGTTGGTTTTGTAGTCTTCAAAATGGTTCATGTCAGAAACCTGTTCAAATTGTGAATATTTTATGAACTGTTATTTGGTTCGTTGAGTTCTGAAGCATCTATTTTTAAACGGAAAAGATGGAAGCTGATTTCCAAAATACTAAGAATCTTTAAGAAGCTTATATCTTATGTCTTACTCGATGTTTTCAGTGGCGCCTTTCCTGGTAAGTGTTTTCGAATAGGAATGGCTCCGGCAAATAAGTTCAGTATAGCCATTCCTGGTAATAGTGTTTACAAACAGGAATGGCTCCGTCAAACAAGCTTATATTTTATATCTTAGAATAAGACTCAGAATCTTGCCTAAGGTCAGAAGAAAAAGAATTAACGAGAAGCATTCGATTTTTTTCTCTCTCATTTCCTCCGTCACTAATGTGAAATAGCATTTCTTAAAATGAAGCACTTTTCCGGTTTTCTGAGTTTTAAATTATGTTTAAGTAGTTCTCTCATCTAAAACATTAAATAAGGCAAATTCAAAGACATAAGTTCGTTTCACAGCCAAATTTTCGAATGTCTAATTTAATGCATGACTAGAATGACTTAGTTATCCAAAATGGGAAAAACGGAAAACATCGGGAAAATTGACGCAAGTAACAAGTTCTTTGCTTTTTAACTACATTTATAAAAAGTACGAGGTTTTCAAAATATGGACTAAGCATCAGTGGAGTGCTTCTCGATGTGTTTGATGACCTCCTCCTTGGATTCTGTTGCTTGTAGTACAGTGATCTGTCGTCCTGTGGTTGATTCCTTGAGGGGCTCTAGTCGTCTGCCACTTTCGTATACGGATGCAACATTTGCTGGTCCAATTGAGTTACGTTTCTTCTTTGTAGATATCTCTTGGATGCTACTACCACTGAGCGAGTTGTCTGTTATGCTTCTGGCACGATAACGGCTCTTACTTATCCCTGTGGAAAAGAAGAAAAATAACCATGACTTCCATGCAATGATAACTAGCTTTATATCTAGCTAACTTCATAATGTCCATAAGGGAAAGAAAACAAAAGCACTGTCGTATGATTGTCTGCTATCAGCCTTACCGAGTAGATCTAAAGCTGAAGGTGTATCACCAACATCCTCCGCCACAGGATTCTCGTTCACACGAACAATGATGAGAATCTTCGGCTCCTTCTCGTAATGTAGTCTATAGTATCGATAAGCCTTCGGCAGAATGCATGGTCCTTCGTAAACCTCTCGTGTATCAGTACAAGTGACTTGACCTTGGATAAGTAAAGCTTCTTGCATCATGCCAGTTATCTTGAATATCACCTTTGGACCTGGTTGCGGGAGCTTTGCAATGTATGAGCGTTCACACATCAGTCGAATCTTGTCCTTAGTCCAGTTACGATAGATTAACATGTCCATTAGAAGAGGCACTGCGATGCGCACACCACATACTCGCCATAATCGGTTGGTGAGTTCTTCATGAGCCTCCATAGTCTTCAGCATCTTTTCTTTAGGAAGGAAGTATGTCTAAAAAGAATGTGAGAATATATTTATATACTTTTTGCAACCGAGAAACATCCCAGGCATCATTTCGCGCATTGTTCCTGCGAAAATAAGCAAGGCATGAGCTTCCGAGCAAGTAAATAAAAGCAATACTCATTTAGACAGCCAGTATCTAGTCAATATCACATTTGCCAGCAAATACTTAACATCATTCAAATTTTACCAGCTAGCAAACAACTGCATGTGGAGCGGATATTTTGCAGAGCGACTCCAGTGGGTGCTCTTGACATTTAAGGAACTATATTACCTGGACGGAAGATTCACAGGTGCAAGAAGAAGTGCGGGTTGACCCAGTCAGTAAACCAAATTCACCAGTCAGATTGCCGGCTGTCATGTAATCTGTTGTAACTATCATGTCTCCCACGTCGGCATCACTTGGACGCGCGTTTTTCCTCTTTGCAACAGACACACCAATCATCTAAGAGACATTTAAGATATTGACAGAGATAAGTGTCTTTACGCGTTGTTTGTCTGTTTGTTCAGTTTATCGCATACTCCCATACCTACCTTGACCATTCCACTGATAATGAGATAAATACCATCCACCTCATTGCCCTGTTTAGTTATTGTGTCCCCAAAATCGAAAACTCTCATCTCTGCCATATCTGTGATGCTGTCGATCACCTGAGGAGCCATGCCTTCCAGCCACACCACGTTGCGTAGAAGACTTTCGGGAGACTGGGGTGGAATGTAGGCTGGCGCACTTAGTTGTCTCTTCATCTTCATCTCGATCAACTAAAAAGAATAAAGAATTGGTCCAGAAATTCTTTATGATAAATAAATAAATGATAAATAAATATCTAAGAATTTGCGCAATGCATGAATGCAACTATATATTTCTGGAATTTTGAATAATAAGTGCATTTGAAAAACAACACACCGATCTTTGACTCTTGATACTCACGGTTTCTAGTTTACTGTGCTCAGCCTCGTCCAGAAGGCCACCCCCTCTCAGTTCATTAGCTACGTCACGGGCATTGTTTAATACTGTTCTGATCGCTTGACGTGTCTTGACAGAGATGGCGATACCTGGGTTTTCACGCTGTAACATACCTAGACGATAATTATTACAGTGAAGATGATAATGATAATGATGATGGTGGTGGTGATGATGATAGAAGTAATGGTCATTTTTTATTATAAAGTATCAAAATGAAAGATGATATGGTCTTCCGTAAATACTAAACATGTTCAACTATGTCCAAATAACAGAGGTCTTCTTTGAACTGGTGACAAGCATCTCGGAATATTTTAACGACATATCAAATTATTATTTAAAGGAATAGAATAGGAAGCAACTAACCAAGGCTTTTGACCACATCCAGTCTGTTCTGATCAGAACGGGCCTTAAGATCTCGTGTGATTCTCTTGTCTACCACCATGTGCTCAATCAGTTTGTTCACCTCTTCTTCAGCAACAATGTAACCTTTGCCAACATCATAACCAAAGCTCAACTTTCGGTTGATTATGTTATCCACAAAATCGATGAGTTTTGGGAGAAGGGCCTGTGAGTGAAAATAGAAAATATAACACTCGTATAGATGAGCTAAGATTCCCTTATGAGAGAAGGGCGTGGCGTGGGTGGCGGGAGAGAGGGAGGGGGAGGGG